CAAAAGAGGGCTCTTATGCTGGTTTTCGCGCTGGGAGGCTTGTAAGTAATCGACACGCACTATTTTCAAAATTATCGTGGCCAACGCGTAACAATTTCTAGCGTCACAATCACCTCCATCATGAGAGCAACCACCCTCAGCTTCTCGACCAAGAGTCCCGATCCTACCTGTCAGTTTCTTTGCTCTGCACACCACCGTGAGACTTCCAACACACTAACACTCATCCCAAGATGACATCACATCAACGCTATGGACAATGATTGAAGAAAACGTTGCAATTATCTGCGCCTGTCTACCTATGTGCCGCATTGTCCTCGCCTGGATCTTCCCCAAGGCCTTCTCGACTCCTTCAACAGCTGCCAGCGGCGGCGAAGGATCCGGCGGCCCAGCCTACACCATTGGTTCGGCTCCAAAACAGCTCTCCCCTTCGCACAGCGACGACGACTGGCAACCGTATTCCGGTCCTGCCAAGTGCGAAGGCCAAAATCACAGCATTGCCCGCCACCACCCGGAAGACGGCAGCAGCGAAGAGTTTATTCTACAGTCTGTCACCAAGCCAGCTACGCTCGAAACGGCCGGGGCAGCCATTCGAAAAACAACCCACTACGAAATCTCGTACGAGCGAAACTCCTACAATACAGTGTAGACCAAATTACTGGCCATGATGATATAATGAATTGCGCGACTACTTGGAGATGGGTTGGGCCTGTTTTCGATTTCCTGCCTACCCAGCCATTATACCCCTGGATGGGCAAGGGAGAAACAAAAGTAGTATGTTGCAAGCTTTCCCCGGAAGCAGTAAAATAGAATCATGGATTCACGAGTTTTAAAAAGTACTCATATTTGCGCGCAAAAGATGAACGAATTCCCTCGTTTTCGCAGCAATGCGCCTTCGCCAAAAGTTCGCCAATAGGCAGCACGGGACGATCATCTGCCGTGCTCGAGACGGGCGAGCTACTACAACACACAACCAGCTAGTTATTTACTTGCCTAATCTGGCACCAGGTCCCGTCTGTTGACTTTTTTTCTATTCTGTCCGGCTCACTGCGATCGACACGACCGGGGTCGAGTTGTGGTGGCCACTCTGAGCCGTTGGGTCCCGTGTTGTTTGCAGATTTGGTCGTCCCCTATGAATAGGATAAAAGGAGCCTAGGGTTCAGGAGGGATGTTTTACTGTAGATTTGCAGTTGGCTCATTGATGATACGAAATGAGATTAATGCAAATGATTTGTAGCATCTATGGTACAATAACACATCTGTAGTACTTTACACAACGACAACTGAGCATAGTTAGCTCATGCCCTCCATGAACTCTACACGATCAAGAAGCATCTGTCTATAGCCCATGTACTCTTTCAATCCCTCCCACTCTGGTCCCGTCTCCTCACCGTGTCTCCAGGGCTCTTGGAAACCCCATGCACAGGCGACCTTGTCCAGGGCAGCGCGTTCATCTTCTCGTAGCCACCTGTATCGTAGAGGCGTCCCAGGAGCCCATGTAACTCGTTTCATTTGGTCCTTGTTGCTGAGTTTGGCAATGACACCCAGCGATCCTACAACGAAGAAATAACCCGAGATGCCGGCGACACCAATTCCAGTGGCGGTACTAATGTCCATAGTGTTTTGCCAGTAGGCTGCGTAGGCGGTCGACAGGCCGAATATACCAAAGGGTAAGGTGACAAGACCAATTGCCGGGGCGGTGCCGTGGCGTATTAATTTCTGGCGTTTGAATGCTGGGACGGTGTATGCTGCTTCGATGATACCTAGCGAAGCATCTAGGTTTTTGGCGTCAATGGCTGTCTGAAGAGCCGTGGCGGCGACCCCTTCCTCAATAGCTCGTGATGCGGCATTGGGGTTCGGCTGGACGTATTGGATCTGGCCGTCTTTCACCACGGGCTTGGGCTTGGAAGCATAGAGTTCCAGCACGGATGGGAGAGACTCGGGACGGCCGAGCTGCGATTGGATCTGGACATAGGTCTCGAGAAATTCAGGGGTCATCTCGACGTTGGGGTGTGTGATGATGGTATATGCCGAGTATGATATTCTGTTGACTGCTTCTTGGATCTTGGCTTCGACTGGTATCCTTGCGCCAGTTCGCTCGGCGCCCAGAGCAACCAGTTTTGATGCAGAAGCTTTAGACTGCGCTTCTGCCCGCTTCAGCTGAGGATGGAGGGCGGATGCGGCACGGAGGCATGATTCGAGAGCGGCATTGGTCAACTGGACAGCCGGGATGCCATCGACAGAGAAGAACTTTTTTTTGCTGTCCTCGGCTACCTGGGCGAGGGCCGCAGGGTCGGTGATGTGCGCCGGTGCATTGGAGGGTTGGGTCCGTCTCACGTATGAAGACTGGGCGTGGTCTCCTGTGACATTACTTGCCGCTGTCGATGACCATCTCGGCGCGGATGTCGTCCGCCCCAGCTGCCTCGAAACACCAGCGCATCGGGCGGACCATCGCACGCCAATGGGTTGTTTGGACGCTTGTGACTGAGTGAAGGCACAAGAGTCGCAAACAAAGCCGATGTGTCTAGGCGTCGCACGTCTCATCGTGGGCGAGATGGCCTATCGGCGGGCAATGTACGTCGGGATTGCGATTGGGATGGTCGTTGACTGGAAGCTGTTGGGAGTTGGATCTATTAAATTTCACTTGACCACTTCATCCGGCAGGGGCTCTCCTTCCATTGGTGCTTCCATCGGTGCCCCACCGGTTGGCTTGAAAGCTGGCAAGAAGGAACATTTGAACCCGCTGGCGTGATATTCGGCGGAATGAAGGGAACATAACTCTCATGGACAGAAAACAAACCTGCGACACTCTCAGATTCAAATATACCGGTTGGTGCATATTTGTTCATTTGCTTCATCGCATTGTTCCAGAGCACTTTGTTGGATCCTTTGTTCGCCAAACACTACTACAAGTCAGCAGTAGCCCGGGAAGCGGGGCTGTGGGCAGGCACTGACAGTGGCTCAGCCCAGGCTGGGTGCGTAAACTTGCCAACTGCATGTGGGACTTGGCAAGACCGCATTCCCCAACCACGGATGACGAAACATTTGAACCGTCAACCTTGTGCATGCTCCCACAACGGCTGCGAGGACGCCGTGCCATCTCACCTCACCTCAACACCAAGGCGTTTCTGCGACCTTTCTATACCGCTTCCACCGACGCCGATTTTCCACAACTCTCTTGCGACTCTTTTGGGTCCAGAAACGGCTGCTTTGAAGCAGCAGGCTGCTCGAGTCTTCATATAGACGCTGGCCAGCCTCGGACGGTCTTCTGCCCCCCGCGCTGCCTCTGCATTTCTCGGCAGCATCCCGGCCTTGAATTCGACATTGCGATACATAGATATCCAGATTCAGCATAAAAGATGCCGGCACCACCTCCTCCACCTCCTCCACCACCACCAACCGGAGGACCACCTGCGGGAATGCCCTCACGGCCTCCTGCTTCTGGAAATAGAGTACGTCGTTCACTGTCCTGATTCTGTTAATTGCAGCTAATTATCTACCAGAACGCCCTACTATCAGATATCCAGAAAGGAAGGTCCCTAAAGAAGGCTGTTACAAATGATCGATCTGCACCAGATGTTGGGAAGACATCATCTGGTGGTGGTCCTGTGCTTGGAGGAGCGCCAGCAGTTCCCGGTGGGCTTGCACCGCCAGTTCCGGGAAACCGAGCGAGAAGCAATAGCGATCAAGGCTCTGGCCAGACAGCGAGCTCGGGAATGGAGTCGGCAGCGCCACAACTTGGTGGGCTATTTGCTGCTGGTATGCCAAAGCTGAAGAAGCGAGGCGGAATAGACACGGGGGCGAATTCAGATGCCTCATATCTCTCGGACCCTGGAGAGTCGAGATCAGCGCCTAAGCCTCCTGGTGCTCCAAAACCACCAAGTGGTGCAGCGCCTGCTATACCGGGACGTGGTCCTCCCATTCTCCCTCCTGGCGCAGCAGGCCACTTGCGCAAGATAACGCCCCTAGGAGGATCAAAACCTCCTCCACCACCGATTGGTAAAAAGCCGCCGCCTCTGCCGACATCTCGAAAGCCTTCTTCAAAAGCTATTCCCCCAGCTGCTCCTGCGCCGACACCACCTCCGCCTCCACCGCCAGCCAGTGCAGCTCCTACTCCATCTGCTCCTCCGCCCCCTCCCCCTCCAGCATTATCTGCTGCGAGTCCAGCAGCACCTCCTCCTCCTCCCCCTCCAGCTTCGACTCCTCTTCGACCCTCGGGATCCCCAGCTCCTAGGACCCAAGCACCACACCCGCCTCCTCCGCCTCCTCCTGCCAACTCAGCGCCGATACCCACCCACTCTCCAAGCTCCGCTCCTCCGCCGCCGCCGAATGCAGCTCCGTCACCGCCTACATCGCAGTCACCGCCGCCGCCGCCTCTGTCAAGAAACCGAGGCCCTTCTCTTATACAATCTATGCTAGATCCTAGCTCATATACCCTGTCTGCGAATGGCGGTGGCTCGCCGAGCCCAAGCCGAAATCCATCGCATTCTCCCTCTCCTAGCATTGGAGGAAGGTTCATAGTCAACGATTCAAGGTGGCAATTTAAGGATGAAAGCTTGTTGCCCAAGCCCAGAGACTTTCGCGGAGGGCCGAAGAAGTATAGGGCGGGCAGAGGTAGCAGTGTGCCATTAGACTTGAATGCGTTATAGGAGAGTAGAAAGTTGGAATCAATGAACGAACCATTTTGGTGTACAATTAGCATGCTTGGCTCCAGAGAGCATCTAAGTAGTATGGGCCATGATGAGTTGACATGTTATGAACGGTGCTTCCACATATTTTTTTAAGCCACGGGCGCGCTCAGCATTTTTGGTCGACATTTGCTGTCCCCGAGTGCACAGTGATCAAACGAAAAGTAGAAAAGTATTTATATATATTGAAAAAGATTAACAGCTTCTGGATGCGTAGACAAGATTTCTTCTATACAAGTCACACTATGCGTAATATAGTACATTTTAACTTCTCCCGTCATACATATTGTAAAAGTACACAAGGCCTGCCAGGGTTTACATGGACTTCAAGTAGTTTGCCTCCTTAATCTTGGCCTTTCTCTCCTTTCGCATAGCCCTCCTGAGCTCTTCTCTCTTCTCGGCAGCCGCAATATTATCAGAAACACTCCCGCCTTCTTCACCCGGCAGATTAATCGACTGGTGCTGAATGGGAATCTTTGGGGTCAAAGCAGCGAGGTTTCCTTCGGCAAGAAGCTTGGCCTCGAGCGCCTTCTGGCGCTTGGCCGCCAACTTTCGCTGCTTCTTGGATTTGGCTATTCGAACAAATGTTAGCTTTATTTCAATGAATTCGAAAGGGGTATCGGAAGCTAGTGCGAGGCCAGTTCTGGGCCAACATACAGAATTCGTCTCCGGCATTTTCGTCAGCTGCGTCCGCGCCCTTCTTCATCACGTCAAGACACGACCACAGCCACTCGGGGTATTCCTCATCTTTCTTGGCGACGGGGTCCTGGCCGCCCTTGTTGTAGTTTAATCCGGCTAGGACTGTGCCCTCGGTGCAAATTGATCGTGGTATCGAGTATTCCTTCGCGGGGGCACCTGCGTCGGTTACGGGTGTTGACAGCTTGGGCTCAGCAGCGCGTGATTGCGCCGATGCGGAAAACTGCCGTAGTAGGGGTAGCCTTTGCCTTGCGGCGGCTGTGCGAATGCACCTTGTGCAGAGCATGGTGCTGGTTTTTTTTTTCTTCGCCTTGGCGGTTGGCAGTTATAGGTGTGATGGAGACAAGGCTTGGAGGTTTTGGTGGTGGGAGCCAAAATTTAGCACGGCCAGGTACGTGCAGGTTGCGCCAATGGGGGTGTGGCCAGCGCAACAGGCACGCAGCCTCGTCACTTTTGCGCATGACCACATGCAGTTACAGCACGACGACAGCAGACTTGCTGCACATTCAACAGGAAGTGCAAGTTTGTGAAATAATGACAATGTCTAATGGAGCTCCATTAATTCCCGATATATAGATATATACATACACGCACACTCGTACAGGATCCAAGTGCTGCTTCTGGTCAATGCCCTCGGGGCCCTTCTCCTTACTTAGATTGGACTACCACTTGTACATCTCTGTTTGTTTGATTGTCCATTTGAAGCTCCTCTTTCACATTCCCCAGCACCCAGTGTGCCATTTCTGAGGCTTCTCCTAAGAAGAAAATCGAGCGCCGCCGTTAATCTTGGCCATCTTGTCAGCAGTGTGGGTTTTTGCAGCAATATCGAACTCCTGGTCTTTTTGTTCGAGGTAATTTTGTTGCAAGAATTTGGTTCCCTTGACCTTGTTCGTAGCAAGCATCCGCAGGTATTTCTCTGCGCGCCCATGTAGTCAGCGTATACTCTCCTGGTTCCAAACACCCCAGCCCACTTACCTCGCAACTCGCCGCAGTTCTCTAAGTGGTTAACACCCTCGCGCATGTAGCACTTGCCCAATTCTTCTCCGACAAGCCGGGTCTTCATGGCACCGACCCATTGTTCTCTGATGATGGCATCTTCGGCGGCTTTGAAGGCCTTGGTGTCGTCGTAGTCGACGCCGTTGAAGGTCGGCGCAACATTGGGTTTCTGGCTCTTAAAGAGCTCGGATTCTGGTGTCGGCATACTGACAGATACACCTGGGTCTCCTTTTGACGTGGCAGAGGCCGTCGATAAGGAAAACGTTCTTCGACGGCGGCAAGAAATTGCTATCTGCAGCTCACGAAACAGACGATAGGTATTACCAAGAAGAGAGTTCGATTCGGCTGTAATGGATGCACGCCTAAATTGTAAGGCAACAAGCATCTACGGGGTATCTAGGTACGTACCGTCGACTTTTCACCGCCTTTGGTTTGACCCACAATTTGGCTGGCGAAAAGGCAGGGAAAAAAAAAAATCTACACCGCGCTGCGCGGCCCAGCCTCCAGTGGGAAGGAAAAAAAGTAGAAAACCATAGCTGGGCCTGCCCACCCTCCATTTTTTCCTTCTCTCCCCATCACGCATTTCCTGGGCTTTTGCATCAATTTTGCAATCCGGTTCCCATTTTCACTCTACTTATTACTACTTTTTTGTTCTACTCATTCTTTTAAAAGAACATATACGATGGCCAAGTCAAAGACCAAGGAGAGCAAGAAGGCTGACGCCGCTCTAGCCACTGTTAAAAATGCTGGTGTTACAAAGGCTTCCCAGTCCACCAAGTCCAAGTCCAAGGAGATTGCCAAGACTGCCGCTAAGAAGGTAGTCAAGGAGAAGGACGCCCCTGAGAAAAAGAAGAAGAATAAGAAGGTCGCCGAACCTGAGTCTTCTGAGTCCTCTGACTCTGAGAGTGAAAGCGACTCTGCCTCTGATAGCCCCGACTCTGAATCCGAGGCTGAAAAGAAGCCTGCCGTCAACGACAAGGCCAAGGCGAAGACTAAGAAGGCCGATTCTGAGTCCGAGTCCGAGTCTGAAGCTGATTCTGAGTCCGAATCTGATTCTGACAGCCAATCCAAGGAGGAGACCAAGAAGCCTGCCACCAACGGCAAGGCCAAGGCCGCTGCGTCTGAGTCGGATTCTGATTCCGACTCTGACAGCGAATCCACTGATGAGGCCGCCAAGCCTAAGGTTAATGGTAAGGCCAAGGCTGAAGCTGACGACTCGTCAGATTCCTCTGACTCTTCCGACTCTGAGGAGGAGAGCGATGACAAGGCCACTGCCAAGGTTGGTAGTTTCTACTACTTCGTTTTACACGATATTGAACTAACCCGCTTGTAGAAGGCTGCCGACTCTTCTGACTCGGAAGAAGATTCAGACGATAGCGATGACAGCAGCGAAGACGACTCTGAAGAGTCTGGCGAGTCTAAGACCAAAACTGAGGATGCCTCTGCCTCTAAGAAGCGCAAGGCTGATGAGGAAATCGACGCCACCCCCAAGAAAGCTAAGACTGAAGGCGCCCCCACTTTGTTTGCCGGCAATCTGAGCTGGAACATTGACGACAACGCCTTGGCCGAGGCCTTCAAGGAGTTCGAGGGCTTAGTCGGTGCTCGTGTTGTCACTGACAGAGACGGCGGCCGCAGCCGTGGCTTCGGATACGTCGACTTTGAGACACCTGAGGCCGCCACCAAGGCTTACGAAGCTATGCAGGGCTTTGAGCTGGACGGCCGTCCGCTTAACCTCGATTACGCCAACACTCGGCCTGCCGAGTCTAACCCCCGTGACCGTGCTACGGACCGTGCCAAGAAACACGGCGACTCTGTCAGCCCTGAAAGCGAGACTCTCTTCATTGGCAACTTGCCCTTCGACACCGACCAGGAGACTGTCCGTCAGTTCTTCGCCGAGGTCGCCGAGGTCACCAGCGTTCGCTTGCCTACCGATCCGTGAGTCATATCTTAACTTGGTTGCATTGATGTTAATCTGAAACTAACTGTTCTTGTAAAAGTGACTCTGGAAACTTAAAGGGCTTTGGTTATGTTTCCTTCAACTCGGTCGAGGACGCCAAGACTGTCTTCCAGCAGTTGAATGGTGCTTCTCTGGGCAACGGCAGAATGTCTCGCAGCGTGCGTCTTGACTTTGCCAGCAGCCGTCCTCAGCAGAGTGGCGGTGGCTTCGGTGGTGGTCGCGGTGGACGTGGAGGACGTGGAGGCCGCGGAGGTCGCGGCGGTGATCGTGGCCGTGGCCGTGGCCGTGGAGGCGGTCGTGGTGGTTTCGGCTCCGGTGCCAACCGAACTGCTCCTTCCAGCTTCGCCGGCACCAAGATGACCTTTGACTAGAGAAAGCAAATATGTACCTGAGGGCTATCAGTGGGCTTTCGATAAGTGGGCTGTCGTATTCGACACAACTTGGCGGCTACGTTCTTGAGACGAGCCTGTGGGCTTTGAGGGGTCGTTTCGTGCAATCGAAGCGGCAGTAGACCTGTGGGCATGTACACTTGTTTCGTGGGCTCGTGGCTGTCACAATATTTTCTTCGCTTTGTGAAGAAAACATCTGTGCGCTAGGTGGCATTACTTTGGCTTTTTGATGGCGGGCAATTCGAGAATTTGCGTCGTTTTTACGACATGCATACATACCAATGGGATTCTGAGGGACTTTGACGGGCTTATTCAGGGGGACGGTATCTTCGCTTGCTATCCAGCAATGAGACGAACTGATCCCTTTTGGGTTCGCACGAAAGACTTCTGAGGGACCTGGGGGCTCCTGCAATTGCAAACTTGAAGCTTGTGAGTTGACGTGATGTCGCAACATCCATGCCAATACCACCCTGGAAGCTGTCGTATGAAATTTGTTTCCTTTATTGTCCCCCCTTTGCTGTAATTCTCTTGAGGTGAGTAATCTACATTGAGTGGCCCGAATCATTTCATAGATCTTTGGCGTTAGGGCTAGGAAAAGTAATACATTTTCTTTCATTACTACTGCGCATACTTGTGTGAAGTGAGCCGTCGCATCATAGAGCGACGAGGTGTGGTGGATTTAGTCCTACGTTTTTATTTTGCCTCTGGGAAACCTGACCAGGTTGACTCACGCGGAACCAAGTGAATGAGTATAAGGCCAATGTTTGTTCAACTACCTAGGTAAATTATTCCGATCTTGGAGGGCCTTGGAATTTCATCGGCAGACCTCCCTACGTCAACATGCAGTCGTAATTCAATCATTTCGCTAAATCGTTAAGCCAGACTTGATTTCATCCACAGTAACGGCTCGATTTCCCATGTCTTCGTAACCAAATCATTAAATCCTAGTAACTTTGATGCCGATTCCTTGATAAATGCAATTCCAGAGTACGAAGTAGATGTCGACCGGATACTGTGTATTTCCTTCCAGCAGCGAGGGCTGCAACGATCTCTCTCCCTCCACCAGGCTCTGGAAGCGCATAGGAATTACCCTGTCATCGGATTGTTGATAGTGCTTTACCAGGGGGCCTTTAGTGGTGATAGACGTATCGATCAGTAAGAATTGCCCACTGATCTGGATCCTTGACAGACACATCGTTGCAGTCTTCGCTGTTTTAAGGGAACGGTATGAAACTGGCCGTACTCCGGGAACATACATATGTATATATATGTGTATAGGTATGACCACGCCCCGTTTTTTTGGGTCAGCTATACTTATTAGGCCTGGGCCACAATGCTCTTGCTAACGGCTCCAGCTCCCCATCTCAGTCGTCTGAGACCACCAGAGCTTCGCATCACTTCGCGTCCAGTATGAGACGTTTCGTTGGCAACACTCATACTGGCGGATAAGGCGTCCTGTGCTTCTTGACGGCCAACCTCACGTCCAATAACATAGCCAGCTCCGAACCCAACCACGGAGACGAGAACGACGACACCAGCGCTGACCACCCATGTCAAAAGGGTGGGCGAGATAAGAGTCGCCTCGTCGGAGCCAACTACAACTTTCTTCTTCTTGCTTGCCCTGGGGCTCCGCCCCGCAGAGCCAGATCTCTTTGATTTATCGGCTTGTCCGGTTGTCCCTGTCGGTGATCTTGCAGGCGACCTTCGCGTTCGCGGAGACACTGCAGTGACTGGCCGTGGCTGGGAAGGTTCTTGCGTCAATTCAGATTCAGGCACAAGTCGAAGTTCCATGGGTTGGTCGCTGGGGCCGATGCGCACGCCATTACGTGAGGCCCGCCAAGTTTCGGCCTCTTCCTTTGACTTTGGTAGACCGCGCGCGGCATTCGCGCAAGACAACAACGTTGTAAGGGATGTCCGTAAATCTTCGTCGTTGTCTTCGCGAACTGAGGGCGACATGAATGATGGCCCGTCGCGGTGGACGCGGGTCTGCGACCGATGGGAGAAGGACGGCCGAGTAAATCCGCTATGCGGATGAGGCGGCATGCTCGACGTAGCAGATTGACTTCTTTGAGGAGCGCCGGCGGGAGGGTGCGAGAATGCATTTGGCTGTGGGCGAAACACGGGTCTATCAGAAACACGGCCAAGGGCAGTCGCATCATCGCCGTCCGAATCCGAGTCGGCGTCCGAGGCCTCACCCACATTCCCGGACGCTGCAGGGTGGACATTTTCAGTTGAACTCGTCAACAGGCGATCATCTTCGCTTTCGCTCTCGTCATATTCCTCTTGGCTGCTCGCGCCTGCAGCGTGTATGGCTGTTTGCTGGTGAGGCACCGATCGAGCGGAGGTCTGTAAGCGACGACGGCGGTTGTACGGACCTCGGACCCGCAGGCCGGTGGTGACGATTTCATCTCCGATGCTAGACAAGGACGAAGATGATGGCTGGGAGGCAACTTCAACCCAAGATTCTGCGGCTGTTAGATGAAATGACGACGGGCAGGTTGATGGTGAGACTGTACCTTCAAATCGACGCGGATGCGGTAAGCCGGGACTGGATCTGGAAGGGCCTGGCTGCGACACGGTGCCCGGCGGTCCCTTGTTAGACTGGGTAGTGTTTCCATCCATGATGGCAAAGTTGGGCTTTATTTGTTATTGTATGCGAAGCAAGTGTGATTCGAAAGGACCAGAAATTTATGCTCGATGGCGAGGGCAACACTCGGTGATGCGATCAAAGAAGACGAACAGCCACCGTTCAGCGGTCGGCGAGCCCCGCCCGGCGGTCACTGGTGAGACGTGGGTGTCACTGTCCTATAAATGCACGCCTCGTCCGCAAAGGACAAAGAAGCTGTGAAGACGGTGGTTATTTTGGAAGGGTAGGAATGAAGGCCGGCGGAAAAGACAGATGAGCTCTAGAGGGGGAAATCGAAGAGGGCGATAAGATAGGAGACGTTTATGGTGGTGCGAAGTCGGGAGGAAGTTGACAGCCAAGCATCAATCGAGGGAAGGTTCAAGGGACTTGCGGTACTTGTGGTACTTGCAAAGTGGTATTTCCGACATCTGGCCGCGCGTGCACAAGTGCGCGCCTCTGCTCGACCGGTACTTGGCGCGCTGGTACACACCTGGTACACCTATGGTTCGATCCCGCTTTTGGTGCTTAGTGGTTGAGCGGTTGAGCGGGTGGTGTTGTTGAGGTTGGGCAGCTCCGCTCTCTTCTCCCTGTTCTCTCGCTGTGAGTTATTTGACCGGACTTGAAGCCCAGATGCACAGCACAAGTGCGCAAGTGGCATGGCAGATGGATACTCCGTACAGATGGATACAGGTGCCTAGAGAAGCCCCGCATGGACATTGACTCGGGATCTGATGGTCACTGCTGCATGTGCGTACCAGGTTTTGGTACTTGCATGTCCCAGTACCCATGTACACCGTCTGCACTATATTTCCGCACCGTATCACGAGGCTGGTGCGACAGACACCACTGGCACCGGTGCAAACACCACCACCGACGCGCCGGCACTCCAGCGATGCAGCGGCGGCGGGCTTGGCCAGAAACTCTGTACAGTGCGGCCAAAGCGAACAACAGCTCATCAGCGGGCCACAACCCCGGCCAAACTCAACAGCGGTGAGCAGCCTCAAATCCGTGCCGGCACTTGCAAAACCAGACCGTTGACGCTTGCCCTTGTCCATCATCTGTCACTCGTCTGTCTGTCGTGCGACCATGGCGTCATGACCTCCAGGGCGGGGTTCTGCCCAAAATAAGCAATAAGAAAGAGGCCATGCGCCTCCATCCGCATGCAACAATCAGTCTTCCATCTTGATGCTTGTCCAAGAGGTCAGCGGCTGGCCGCCCCGCGTGGCGCGTAATGCGCCATGGCCGTGTTCTCGTGTCGACGGTGCGTGTGATTGATGGCACCAGTACGGAGTAAGCAAGACAGTTGACGCTATCTTGTACCCACCGGGAAATCCATCACGTCTTGTCCGACGTTGCGAAGCGAGACTTGCCTTTTTTTCTCTTGTTATTGCTATTATTTATTTATTTATTTGTTTATCTATCTATCTATTTATTCCTCTATTTACTTTTTCAACGAGTCGGTTGTTGCAGTCAATGACTGATTGCATTATTGATGTACATGATCTGAAACCTTAGCCACCACAAGGCCAATAACTTACAATTCATACCCATCCCCAAAACATACGTCATTCTAGACTGATGCTAGTCCACATCAGATGTCGAGGAGGTGTCCATTTGACGCAGATCTCTTAGGGATGCTACCTGGTCCTACGAAACGATGTTGTGTTCCTACAGTCGCACGCACCCAAGCCATCACATGATGAGAAACACCACGCACAAGCCAGCTCCCGAACCCAATCCAACCAAAATGGACTGTCTCTGTTTTATTTTGTACGTGCACTACAGAAAGTGTATACAAATTATACAAGGACACTTGGGAGCCAGCCGACTAGAACATGTAGCTCGGGACACCTTTACAAGGACTTTTCTAACAATCATTTTTCTAACAATCATGGAATCGCCAAAAGACCAACCGCAAACAAAAGTTCAACAAGAGCAGAGACAAGCTGTTGGAAGATGACGGGGGCGCAGTAGGTAATGAGCCGTGATTATGGCTGGTCTCGGACCCTCGGTGCATGAAGTCAAGTCTAGGCAGACCTTGGCCTATTTCTACTTGGACTACTGAGCAATCACGTTGCCTCTGAGAGGAGTGTGTTTCTCACCTATACCTACAGTTAAATAAGATGAGTTTTCCACGCATATTACATTGGCTGCAGTGTCGAGAAGAGTTATTTTACATATTGCCTTTGGCTCAATGCTAGTGGCGAATCACGTACTATTATACAGAAAGAAATTTGGTCTGTACGCCCTTGTGTAGAGTCATTCTCTCTGCCTTTTGAAGAAAGAAAAAACCCCCCACGAGGGTGTCTTTGAGATAACGAACGTGGATGGTCTCATGGCGAGGCTCGACTTGACAGATGTTGTCAACGAGAGGCGCTGAGAAGCATGGACAGAGTTTGGTTGGCCTCAAATATATGAGTGCCAACGATGCTCGTATGAAGCGGGTATATGTGTTTACGGACTACAGAGCACAAATAGCTAATCTGTGAAAACAGCAAGGCCTAGACGTTGACGTTGCCGAACCGTTGATGCCTCTCCTCCCTCCACCTCGGGCCGCATCTCCCGACAACAAGTATCGAAGGGCTGGCAGCCAAACCCACCAACGCCAGAAACAGATATGTAAATCCATACCCCAGGCATCGATGATGTACTGTACCACGGCGGTCCCCGCCGCACTTATACCCCCCCTCGTAAGGTTGAATGAAGACGAAACTCGCCCGGCGTTCATCGGGTACAAGTCCACCAACAAGATGGTGAGGATTGAGATGGGCCCAGAGAGGCCCATGCCCGCGAGGAGCAAAATAACCAGCGGTGCGGCTAGGTTGGCGCCCGAGTTGACAACCCAGCCCCATATAGCTGTCGTAAAGAAAGCAAGCATCGTCCACGACGACATGTGATCCAGCCTCGCTCTCTCAATGGGAAACCGTCTCACGTCGTCGCCCCTCTTGCGGTCGGCGGACACGCCTGTGCCGTTTGCCACCCGGGCGTAGTTCCAGTTGAGCAGCCTGCCTATCGTAACGGCACCAAATACGGATCCCATCGCCAAGAGAATGTAGCACAGCCCGACCAGGACATCGCTGAAGCTGTGTCGGCGGCGACTAACGTCTTGAAGAGGTACCAGCATGGCGTAGTTGGCCATGACAAAGAGAGACATGAAGAGCATGAGGAGGCCCACGTCCTTTTCGAAGATGATGCGGATGGCGGCAACGGCGCCGGGGACGGGGATCCCGAGAGGCAATTTCTTGAGCTCAAGGATGCTCGCGCCGGGCGCGGAGTCAGGTCGGCAACCACAGCGCTGCCAATTGCCACTGCCGAGCTTCTCCCTGTGCTTCGCAAAGCACGTAGCGCCATTGGCGCTGCGTAGTTGTGCTGCATGGCCAGCCCGACGTTTGCGCCCAGGTAGATGGCAAACATGAGCGCATAGACGGGCCGTCGGCCGATCTGGTCGCGGAGATGGCCAAAGAACAGTGGTGCAATGGCCTGCATGATTTGGTAGACGGTACGGCGAGGTTGATCTCGCCTAGGGAGCGGCGATATGACTTGGCGATGGGGTTCATGGCTGGCAGGTAGATGAAGGATGAGAAGGGCGAGAAGATGGTGCTGAAGACTGTCATGAGGATGACGAAGAATTTGATCCTGGAGAGGGAATACGGAGTGGATGGGGCGCTCGTTTGACTGATGTGGTTCGAGGACCTGATTCTCCGTGACAGCTTCACATTGAGTGTTGTCTGCCCGGGTATCATTGTTGTTCTTGTCGTGGTATGGAGGCTGTGTGGTGGCGTGTCCAGCCATCTCTTTCGTTTGGCTGTTACTTGTCCCGGGACATTCTTCGTCTCGGGGCGTCTCGGACATTTTGTTTTATTTTTACGTCCCTGAAACTTGAAGGCGAAAGCGTTTGATGCTAAGTGGCGCGTCTCATTTACTGCGCTCGAGTGTGATGTAGCTGAGAAGGAAGCCCCCGTATTCCTGGATCCGGTAATATATGAAAATATAGGAAGAGGACGACTATACGTGACCAAAAAAAGAAATGGAACTAAAACTTGTGAGCTGTAGGACGGAGGTTTCACGTCCAAAGTCCGGAATTTGACAGTAGTTAAGATCGAAAGGAGAAGATGGGATCGCACTACTCCGTATTGGGGTCGGTAGGGAGGCTTGCCGGAGTGTCTAACGTCACTCCCCGGGACGGACCCACATTTCCCGCGCCGTGACTCGGTGCCGAGATTGCTCCGGGTGTTGTTGTGAAATGCATTTGGTGCACGTCCAAACATTGCTCGCGCCTCATTACTCCATCCCGACAGTATAGAACACCCGGCTACTTAGCACGATATCCGGTGGACCTGAACACCATAGATAAAGAATGCCAAGACGGTGGGGGGCCATGTCAACAGAGCCGAATTGACGACTCCTCGCGGCGGCCCACACCACACAGCATATTGATTCTTCGGCAGCTATTGAAACAATGTCGGCGGGCGATGGTCTCAAGGAAGACATATGCTCACATTTCAGTAAAATATAACCGGAAATTGCCTCCTTCCCAGTCTTGTTCCCGAAACATCAAAGCCTCATCCTCTACCTCGGCCTGCCGACGTTGGCACCGACAGGCTTCAACAACATCACCCGCAACGGTTCGGCAGGGGACTAATACGGTGCACACTTATGTCCTCCAAACGTAACTCATTGGTTCTCTTTTATGAGAGCGTTAAGTCCTATGTGTACAACTCGAGTTTTCTTATCTCCAAAGACTGAGTTATGCATTGCATGGTCTCCTCTGTGTGTATAAGTGTCTGGTTGAATGAGGCGGACGTGAGTCTCAGAGCACTGTTATATAAAGGCCATCTCTTCACACGGAACGCCCATTGTACCTTTAAAAGACACTCTGATCTTGTTCGAATTGAATCTGGTAAACACCTTGTTTTCACAAAAAAAAGGCATCCCCCCAAACACCGCAGCAATCTACCCTTAACCAAGACGGTCCTCCTCTTGCTTGACTACCACAACACCATTATCTGTCGAAGAGAATGATAGGGTTATCAACACGGCAGACGCTCTACTCAAAACAGTGCGTGAGAGCTCGGCCACGGTCGTTCATTGTGTGATCGACATGAAGGCCCAGCTCGCCGAGACCAGCAAAACGCGGCAACGCTGGGAGTCTACATATAAGCCCCTGGTGGTATCAGTCCCGTAGAGGCTTGAACTTATTGCTGAACTGGCTCCTGCCACCAAAGGCTCCTCTGCTAAGTAATTAGTCGTTGCCAAGTTGCCGGGATGTGTCTCCGCGATGAAAACACGGCGGTTTGTGTCTTCGCTGCGGGAGAAGTATGGGGTTGAGAGTGTGGTTATTTGCGGTCTCATCTCTGTAAGTAACTCTGACAGGTGAAGTACTGATTCTGCAAGGTTGATCTAAATGTCTCGTCCGAAATATGGCGGCGCAGGAACTGAACAGAAACAATTGGTTTCAACCAGCGCATTGTCGCATGGCCTGAACTTTGAAGCTCCTTAGTTGTGTGGTTCAAAGACTGCTTCAGAATACCGTACGCACTCCGTACTCGCCACTTGGTACCCCTTTGACCCCAACGATTCTGACTGTGCAGTCTGCTGCTTCGTCTGACCTAGCATAAAGTGGCTTCGGGTTCTTATTCGCATTTCCCCAGTGGCTGGGTCGTACGATCTCACATTTGGGCGGGCCCAGATGCAGAGCACCATGGAATTCATCCAGAACAATTACGATGTCGGGTGTCATCCGATACTCCATAGGCTATCGCCAACCTGAGGTCTGACGTCCAGGGACTTGAGCTTGAGCTCTTTGAAATCTGCAACGGGCAACATTGAATCCAGTGGTTCCTCCCGGATTGACACACCACTTCCTGCAAAACCCGAATACGAGACACCCTTGGCCATGGTAATCAGGCGCTCTGATTGGACGGTCCCTGACTTTCATCGGCAGAGACCCCACATACGCAGCGCAGTGTATCTTGTGGGTGGGTCCCCCTGAACCAACGAAAGGATCATCCAACTCCAAAATTACTTTTATCGGGCGCATCTCGACGCCACCCGTCAGCTCTTTCTTGATCACTTGGTTCTACGTCGTCGAGTTTTGTTCGTTTCTTGCCTCATTCATTTGGCCACAGGGAACGGAGAGCCGGTTGTCCTCATCCTCTGGAAACATTCACGTTTTGATTACCGTTCCATATCCGATTGCGCGAGCCAAGCATTTGTCGACGCATCGATCAACATCTGCAATCACAATGGGTGTCCTTCAACAGGTAGCGAGCCACCCGCTCTCGCAGCAGTTCCAGACTCTGGGTCTGGGATCGCAGATTGCCGTCGCTCTGGGTGGTTTTATCGCACTTGCGGTCGCTTTGAACGTTGCTAGCCAGATCCTTTTTAAGAACCCCAATGAGCCTCCGTTGGTCTTCCACTGGTTCCCCTTTATTGGCAGCACTGTAACCTACGGAATGGATCCTCCCAAGTTTTTCAAGGAAAACCGTGCCAAGGTATGTCTTGAGCTCTGTGCGAGCTGTTCATGCCGCTAGATTCGTATCTGACCGGCGCTACAGTTTGGGGATGTCTTCACCTTTGTTCTCCTTGGCAAGAAAACCACCGTTGCCGTTGGCCCCGCCGGAAACGATTTCATTCTCAACGGCAAGCTCAAGGACGTCAATGCTGAGGAGATTTACACTGTGTTGACCACTCCTGTCTTTGGGCGGGACGTCGTCTATGACTGTCCCAACGCGAAGCTGATGGAGCAGAAAAAGGTAATGGCAACCAACGCCTTTTTTCCCCTTTTGGCGGCGATGCAGGCAGCAACTAACTGGTGGTACAGTTCATGAAGATTGCTCTGACGACCGAAGCTTTCCGATCCTACGTTCCCATTATTTCTGGCGAAGTGCAGTCCTATTTCAAACGCGACCCCGGGTTCAAGGGCAAGTCCGGCATCGTTGACATTCCCAAGAAGATGGCCGAGATCACAATCTTTACTGCCTCTCACGCCCTGCAGGGCAGTGCCATCCGCGGCAAGTTTGATGAGTCTCTGGCTGCCCTCTACCACGATTTGGATATGGGCTTCACACCCATCAACTTCATGCTGCACTGGGCCCCCCTTCCCTGGAACCGTAAGCGTGACCACGCTCAACGTACTGTGGCCAAGATCTACATGGATACCATCAAGGAACGCCGCGCCAAGGGCGATGACGACAAGGAACTCGACATCATGAAGCACCTTATGAACTCGACCTACAAGAATGGAACCCCTGTTCCTGACCACGAGGTTGCCCACATGATGATTGCTCTGCTCATGGCCGGCCAGCACTCGTCGTCATCTACCAGCTCATGGATCATGCTCCGCCTTGCCCAGAACCCGCACCTCGTCGAGGAGCTCTACCAAGAACAGATCAAGGCTCTTGGTGCTGATCTGCCACCTTTGACCTACGAAGACCTGTCCAAGCTGCCTCTCAATCAGGCCATCATCAAGGAAACCCTCCGTCTGCACGCTCCTATTCACTCCATCATGCGTGCCGTCAAGCAGCCCATGCCTGTGCCTGGTACCAAATATGTTATTCCCACCACTCACACTCTTCTTGCCGCTCCCGGTGTCAGCGCCAGCGACCCTACGTACTTCCCCAGCCCCGAATCCTGGGACCCCCATCGCTGGGATACCGATTCCCCCAACGCTCCTACTATTGTCCGCAATGTCGCTGAGGAGGAAGAGAAGGTCGACTATGGATACGGCTTGGTCAGCAAAGGTGCCGCCTCGCCGTACCTTCCATTTGGTGCAGGTCGCCACCGATGTATTGGCGAACACTTTGCCAACGTACAGCTTCAAACCATTGTCGCCGAGACGGTCCGTCTGTTCAAGCTGAGCAATGTCGACGGCAGCAACACCATTATTGGCACCGACTACGCGTCCCTCTTTTCACGACCCTTGGAACCCGCAAAGATTCGCTGGGAACGGCGAGATTAGATGTGTGAGCGGTAAATGCAACAAAAAAACGCATGGGATAAAATGACGGGTAGCGACTTTCTTTCTTTTTCTTTGCGTGGGTATTTGTATATACAAGGCTACTCGCTGGAGTTATTGAAGTCATCAGATGGACGAGTTTACGTGGATGGGCCCGCGTGGTTGCATGAAAAAAGGTACTAATATTTAATATCAATCAAAGTCATAAATCAATTTGAAGGACTGCAATATAATAAGCAGTGTGAGCGATCCATGTCGTGAATGTGACGAGGTATCGTTGGGTCAGCCTTGGACGATGCTCCTTTCCTCCAGTCCAGATGTCGGGCGGCCCCATTGGGCGGCCGAAGGACCTACCACCTGCACGGACCGGGTGCAACGGCATCTGGAAACATGAGGTGGCTGCGCGCGATAGTTTTCAAACACGCACCTCCCTTTAGCTGTGTTTTTTTCAGTACCTTCTCCAACATGAGGTTACATGCTCGCCAGGGACGATCCTGGCAAGCGAGGCTTTGTTTTTTTTCTAAACAAGTCGAGGGCCGATTGCACGCGAGCTTCTTCCTTTGATCAACATTGCGCTCGCACTCTGTTAATCAGCCTCTTAGCTCGCAAGTGTGCCACGGAGTGAGAGTCAGCCCAGAACCATTGACAGACAGTACTACAACACAGACATTTACCGCAATGGAATTCAGACTGCCAAAGCTATCCGCAGACTCAGACGGCGATATTAAGGCAGATCATAGTCGTCTGATCCGCCTCTGGGGGGTTGAACCGTCGCAGTTGCCATCTTCAGCCTCGCCTCCGAGCGATCTCCTTCCACTGCTCACGGCCACGTGGACGGAGGCGGTGTATTTTATCAGCAAGGTCCATTTGGAGTCCAAGACCAAGACATCACCAT